AGGGTTTGTGCAAACCCTGTCTTGGACAAGCAGCTACCCTCAGGTGTGTCTCTGCCTGCAGCTTCAACCCAGCAGTGAAAAACAGCTGCTCCAGCTGTGAGATCTGTGGCACAGAGACCAGCCAGGCCTGGAGGACTGCCTAATGAGGGAATTTCTTGCAAGGTCTGTTGGAGAAGGGCATAGAGCAGAGAGGAGGAAAAGACTACGATTACAGTCAAAAGCAATAATGAATCATCAGGGCTGAACATGAGCCCAGGTGTGCCCAGGTGGCCAAGAAGGAAATGGCCTCAAGTTGTGCCAGGAGAGGTTCAGGTTGGATATTGGGAAAAATCTTTTCCCTGAAGGGCTGACCAGGCCCTGGCACAGCTGCCCAGAGCAGTGGTGGAATCACCATCCCTGGAAGTGTTCAAAAGTCCTGTGGATGTGGCCCCTGGGGACATGGGTTAGTGGTGAACATGGCAGTGACAGGGAAGTGGTTGGACTCAATGATCTTAGAGGCCTTTTCCAAATTAGTCAATTCCATAATTCTAATACTGTAGAGCTGCAGTTGCAAAAAATAACAGCTCCTTTGTCTACCACAGCCATGTGGGATGAATGGAGCCCAGCATTAATTCATCTGTCTATATGCAAAACACAGATTCTCTTGGTTTCAGGGCAAACTGAAACTACCCCAGGAGCCTCTGATGGCTCCAAATCCTCCCCCTACTACCTGGTCCCCCCATAAACAGCTCACCACTAACTCCAGATGTTCAGGAGCCTCTCCTGACACCTGTCCCCAAACTGCTCCATCATTCTTCAGCCAGCAGGAAGTGGGGAAGCAAAGAAGGGAAGAGGCCCTGTTTGGGGAGCGCAGCACTCACCAGGAAGCACTCACTGGTGCCATCCGTGGCTCTGTCCCGCCTGTGCCCCTCTGACACCTGCAGGGTGCAGGGAGCGTTCCCAGGCTCTGATGCTGACCGTGGAGCTGTCAGTAGCTGCTCTCCCTTCCCTGATGAGCCCTGCTCCCCTGCAGAGGGCTCAGGAGGATTCAGCTCCAAAAGTGACATGACCAGTGTGTGGCTGGGCAGAAACTCAGTGGTTGGGCAGATTGAAGCAGCAGCAGCAGAACTGGGTCACAGCAGGATGTGACCCCATGAGAGCAGCCAGCAGACCCATCCCTGCCTTTCCACAACAGGATGTACTGAAGGGTTTGAAGAGGAACTGGTGTTTCCAGGGAGGTAATGCACAATATAAATCTTCAAAATGCTCCATGTTGGTGCTGGAGATGAGAAAATGTCCAGGCTCCTGCTGAAAGCAAAACAAAGGGATAAAGCTTTCTGCTTGGGAGGAAGTTGGTATGATTCTCCCTGGCCAGCAAGAGTGAAGCTTTGCTTCATGAATGATCCAGCAGAAAATGCTAAAAGGCGGAACTAAGGATGAGTTTTCAACAGAGAAAACTCCCATCCAAGACTTAAGAATTGGCCAAAGATCCTATTAGTGGGTTTTATTTACCTCTTGAACTATCCACAAGGACTGTAACAATGAGAGACACCACTCCAGCCCTGACCAACCAGCCCAGCCCAGCAGCAGCCTCGGGCCACAAGCTGGAGACATCAGCGTGCTCTGGTGCCACTCGGGGTTTCTGGGCTGGGGCCCTCGTCAGGAGTGCCTGACGGTGCGCCCCGGTCACGGGAGGCGATCGGGGCACGGGCAAGAGTGGCCGTGCCCTGTCTCTGCCGCCGGCGGGCAGGGTCACGGTTCGGCGGGCTCGGAACGCGGGTTCAGCGCCTAAAGGATTGGTGGCGAAGGAGATAAAGAAGGGCCCGGTGCTTGCTTTTCCCAGCTGCTTTTCTTTCTCTGCGCGCGGGGACGGCGCTGTCGGCGGCGGCGCTCGGCTCCGGCAGCGCGGCTTTCCCGCGGCGGCAGCAGCGCCGGCGCCGGGCAGAGGACGCGGCGCTCGCGGGCGGCGGCGGAGCAGGAGCGGGGCGGCCGGAGCCGCCGGGGCGGTCTCGGTCCCGCAGCAGGAACCGCAGCCGCGCGGGCAGCTGCGGAGAGCGAGGGGGCAGAGAAAACTGCTGCTGTTCTGGAGGAGACCGCGGGAAATCGTCGGAGGGGAAGGTCAGGAGCCGAGGCGGGAACGACAAACCAACAGCAAAGAGAAAAGACTGTAACTGACAGAGAATTCTCTAGGCTAGGGGCAGAATTTTTGGGGACAGAGAGAGAGAAATTATTCCAACAGCCACAGGCTAGACAAGAGGCAAACACAGACCAAACATCCCCAAACTGCCATCCCAGCCCAGGTGCTGACTGAGAGCTGGACTGCACAGCTGCTCCATCACCTGCCCCAGGTCTCTGCCCGTGCCACCAGCACTGCAGGGGTGCTTCTCATGGCTCTCCGAGCTGCAGGAACCCAAGACTCTACCTGAGGCTGAATGATGCCCAAGATCTCATGGTACAAAAGCTTCTTCCCAAGAATTCCCACCACACTGTTCATTTCTTCTTAGCATTTCAAGTCTATGTGATCCTATTCAGTATTTAAGAGCCTGCAGAAAGCACACCAAAGCCCACTACAAAGGAGCCTCAAAACACTACAAACAGCCTCAAAACCCCCCCCAAAACCCCACTGCTACAAGTGCCCATCTCACCAGGTGAGAGCAGATGCAGCACTGCCAGGGTGGATTTGCATCCTGCACCCCAGGGCAGGCAGAGGGCTCCCCTCCCCCCCTCTGGCTGGGATCTCGCCCCTCCCAGCCTGAGTTACCCCAAAATGAGGATGTGCACATGTGGTACAAGCAGGCAGAACCTCCCAAATGTGCTGCTCCAGGCTGGAAGGAAAAGGCCTCCCCCACTGACCCTCCTGCAGATGTGTGGGCAGGAGCAGAGCTTTCCTGGCTGGTCTGGGGCAGGAGTGACCCATGGGGACGCTCTGAAGCTCTGGAGAGAGAGAAGTGACACTGCAGTGCACTGTCCCTGCTCAGGTGCCTCTGGGGCAGCCCGAGTCAGCTCCCAGGGCACGGATGGATTTGAGCTCCCAGGAATGCTTTGGGGTGTTTTTCTCAAAATGGTGTTGACACCTACATGAGCAGGAACTCACAGAATCCAAGGATAATTGTACTTGGGAAGGGCAATCTGGTGGTCTGTAACCCTGATCCACTTTGGATCAGGGTTACATCTCCAGGCATGAGAGTTCTGTGACTTCCCTGATCCCCAGGACAGGACTGGACCTGTCCCCTTCCCTGGTCTGTGCCTGGCTCAGGGCTGCTCAGTGGGCACTGCTGAGCTCCACATCTGCTCCCCTCTCGAGCCCTGCTCTGGCTCCCCACTCACCCAGACAGGGCTCAGGAGCTCAAATGCCCCAAACACTGCCCCAGCCTCAGAAACACCTGCACAGCTCCCAGGAGAGCGGGGTGATGTCCCCCAGCTACACTCACACCCCAGCTCGTGTCAGCATTGCCCAGGGCTGGAGCTTGAGGTGAGCAGCTGGATTGCTGCTGAAATCCTACACCTTTATTTAGTGAATATCAGTGAATATTTAGTGAATGTTTACCTCGAATATCAGTTCCCATTTCTGGCTTCTCCTGAGGGCTCTTGGCAGCAGACAGTCAGGAGTGAGACAGCAGGAGGATGGGGCATATTTGCACCAAATCAGGACTCCTCTGGGATCTGGCCTACCCTCTAAAGAAGCAGTGGCTCAATCAAAAGGCCTCTTTCAGTCTTTTCAGCACCAACAGAGGGGTGTTGGCAGCAGCCCAGAGCAGCACACAGCCAGAGGGGCTCTGAGGTGCCCAGTGTGGAGCAGCAGAGTCACCTGGGCCCCAGCAGTGCTGCCCGTGAGCCCTGGCCCTGCCTCCTGCTCTGCCCAGGCTCTGGGGCCAGGCTGATCTCTGCTTGCCAGGAGCGCTCACTGCTGCCAGTGTGCCCGTGCCCCTTTCAGGGCCCTCTGCCCTCCCCATCGAGGGGTTCTCTCTGTGCCAAGCAGCCACAGAGCTGCTGCTAGCCCCCAAATCCTGATGCAATCACTGCATGTGAGGATGTGCTGCAGCTTCACAGGATCCCAGAATGGGTCAGCTGGGAAGGGACCCCAGTGGCTCTGGTCCCACTTCCTTGCCCAGGCAGGGCCATCCCAGGACACAGGGCACAGGATTGCACCCAGGTGGCTCTGGAATGTCTCCATTGATGGAGGCTTTTAAGGGAGACAATTTCCCTTTGTCCAGCATCAACTGACACGTTGATGCTGGACAAATCCAACCACGAATTCAAGCAACTCCAGACTCCCATGCCTGGGAAGTGACTGTCCCTGATGGTCCCTGTGGGCAGGCCACGACAGACACGGCACTGCCAACTCCTGCCAGTCCAGGATCACTGGGGGACCAGAATATCCCAGACTGGTTTGGGTGGGAAGGACTTAAAAAACATCTCATCCCCCTTGCCATGGCAGAGACACCTTCCACCATCCCAGGGGGCTCCAAGCCCCAGCCAGCCTGGCCTTGGACACTGCCAGGGGTCCAAGGGCAGCCTGTGCCAGGGTCTCAGCCCACTCCCAGTGCAGGATCCCAATGCAGGATCCCAGTGCAGGATCCCAGTGCAGGATCCCCAGGACAGGATTCCACTGCAGGATTCCCAGTTCAGGATTCCCAGTGCAGGATTCCCAGGACAGGATCCCCAGGACAGGATTCCCAGTTCAGGATCCCAGTGCAGGATCCCAGTGCAGGATCCCCAGGACAGGATTCCCAGTGCAGGATCCCCAGGACAGGATTCCACTGCAGGATTCCCAGTTCAGGATTCCCAGTGCAGGATTCCCAGTGCAGGATTCCCAGTTCAGGATTCCCACTGCAGGATTCCCACTGCAGGATTCCCAGTTCAGGATCCCAGTGCAGGATCCCCGGGACAGGATTCCCACTGCAGGATTCCCAGCCCGGAGCTCCCGGACCCCTCCGGGATGGGGAGTGGGGCGGGGCCACCATTGCTGGGCGGGGTCACAACAATGGCGTCACCGCGACGCCCCGCTGACGTCACGCCGCCAGCCCCGCCCCTCGCCATGGCGGCGCCCTGCGCGGAGATGGAGCCGGCGGCGCCTCCGGCCTCTCCCCCCGCTCCTCCTGCGGTCGCGCCGGGCTCGGCCGGGCTCGTGTGCGCGCAGGGCCGCAACCTGCGGGCCGTGCTGTGCCAGCGCTGCGGCTCCCGGGTGCTGCTGCCCGGCGCCGCCACCTTCGCCCGCCGTGAGGTACCGGGGGGTTCGGGGGGAGGCGGGCGGTGCCGGCCGGGCGGTGACGGCCCCGTGTCTCCGCAGCTCCTCCTGCCCGCCATGAGGAAGAAGGCGGCGGCGGCGGCGGCGGGAGGCGGCGGGGACGTGCTGCGGGAGCACTGGCTGGTGCGCGACATGTTCTCCTTCGAGAACGTGGGATTCACCCGCGACGTGGGCAACGTCAAGTTCCTGGTGTGCGCCGACTGCGAGGCGGGGCCCATCGGCTGGCACTGCCTCGACGACAAGGACAGCTTCTACGTGGCGCTGGAGCGCGTGGCCCACGAGTGACGCCGGCCCCGGGCTGGGAGCCGGCCCGGCCGCCGGGAGCCCCGCCAGCCCCGAGGCCCGGCAGCCCTGCGGAGTGACCGCGGCTGGTCACCCCAGAGCCCGACTGAGCACGGCCCGCCTGCCCCGCGGCCTGGCTGGCCACAGCTTGCCTGCTCCCCGGTGCGACTGACCCACAGCTCCGCTGGTCACCCCCTTTCCCAGATCCACAGGCTGAACAGCGTCAGGAATTGCAGCCCTGGCACAGCCAGCTCCTCACCTGCACCCACGCGGGAAGAGTGTTGGTGGTGGGAGGGTCCCTGTACCCTGCAGGGACAGCTCACGCTGACATCTTTGCCCCGTAGCCCAGTCTGCCCCAGTCTGGCTGCTCTACCACTTCCCTGGTGGCTGCTGTTGCTCCAGGGGGCTGAGGTGTCTCTCGTGCTGGTGACACCATGTAAATGGGGGCACTGGGACAGGGCGCTGCACAGACAGGACTGCTGCACTGAATCGTGGCAGCTGAAACGGTCTGACCTGCAGCCACAGCAGTTCCAGGGCTTAAGGCTGAATCTTGATTTTCAGAAGGAATGTTCGCTGCCTCAAGCTCTTACATTTATGTTCTCCAAAACCTCATCCCACCTGACAGCTGTGGCACCTAAAGTGAGTGTAAGGCATTCCAACTAGCCTGTGCAGTCCTATTAACTGAGTACTTGGGAGCAAAACACAGGTAGAATGTGCAGACAGCGTAAGCTGATAGAGCAGCAAACAAAGAAAATGTGCCAGACCATAGAGCTTTCAGGCAGCAAGAGTGAAGAGATTCCAGCCTGAAAAGCACCTGAATCATTGGACAGGCAGTGCTGAAGCATGTCAGAACATATGTGTGTGTGTTAAACAGTGATCTCAGGAAGGAATTTTCTTCTGTAAAAGCTGGTGGTGAGAATGATCTGGGATATTGTGACCAGTTTTGGTTTCTGCCTTTTAAAAGCTGGGCACAGAGCTAATTAAAGATGGAAGGAGGCTGCAGCAGCCGTGGTTCTCCCTGCATTTATCACTGCTGGTAATCGTGGCCCAGCTCATTCTCCATTGCTGAGCCCTGTATGAATGAGTGACAGAAGAGCTCTCCAGGGATGCTTTGGGCTCCCTGGTGCTGTGCCTCTCTGTGGGACATCTCCCTGTCCTCTGCTCATAAGCACTCGGATACTAACCCAGCTGTGAAGGCACAGCTGTCACCGTGCTGGGGTGATAGACTTGTTTGTGCCACCAAACTCAAGGTGGGGTGTAGGGTGCTGCCCCAAGGCTGTGGGAAGAACCTTTCTCTTGCCCCTCTAATGAAACAATTTTGCTGGCAGGGCTCTGTAGGGCAGGCACAGCCTCAGATGAGTCTCCCAGAAGAGGCATCCTCACAGCAGGAGGGACAGAAACAAGTCCCTTCTTCCTGCAGTGCTTGAGCACCTGCACTTCTGTGATTTGGAGACACTGCCTCAATGTGTGGCCTTTTCTGGGGTGCTCTGTCAGGAACCTCTGCTGTGGGCAGTCAGGATTTGTCAGAGCAGGGAGAGAGGCAGAACTGTGGTCTGGGGGCTGAGGGCCTTGCTGGGGCAGGAGGCAAATCCTGTCCTGTGTCCTTGCTAAATGTGTCACATGGATATTTGTCATGGAGACTGCTTCTTCCCTTCTGCCCTTCCTGTCTCTTAGCCCTAAGCCCAAGACTGCACAGGATATGTGCCTCAAAGGACAAGAGAGCTTCACTTGGGTTCTGCACAGGCATGGCAAAATGGTGGGATCACATCACTAATTTAACCTTTTCATTTGGATTGTTGTCTCTTAGGATATGTGTTCTGATCTGTAATACCCCAGTTACAGTCCATGTTACTTAAATGTGCTGTAATACCCCAGTTACAGTCCATGTTACTTAAATATGCTGCACTGCTCACACCTCATTTTGAAGGAGCCACTGTGCAGAACAGACTCGAAATCAGTCGAGTAATGCTGAGTAAATGACCTCCAAGAAATGGTACCTGTGGATTCCTGAGTAGAGGGTGGCCCTGGGAGGATCTGGGGGTGGTGGCAGCTTTCCCAGTCAGTAGAACACCCCTGGAGAGATGGGAGAGCTCAGGTCCAAGCCTTCACATTGGAATGGCAGCAGCTGAAATCCACCTCAGCACAGCCCTCAGAGTGCCGGGAGCTCCTGCTCTTCTTTGGTGGGAAAGGGGAGCTGAATCTTCCATGGATCCAGGTGTGCTTTCTGCAGGCTCTTAAATACTGAATAGGATCACATAGACTTGAAATGCTAAGAAGAAATGAACAGTGTGGTGGGAATTCTTGGGAAGAAGCTTTTGTACCATGAGATCTTGGGCATCATTCAGCCTCAAGTAGAGTCTTGGGTTCCTGCAGCTCGGAAAGCCATGAGAAGCACCCCTGCAGTGCTGGTGGCACGGGCAGAGACCTGGGGCAGGTGATGGAGCAGCTGTGCAGTCCAGCTCTCAGTCAGCACCTGGGCTAATTCATGTTCCCAGAGGTGACTGAGAATTTCAGAGGGGTGGGCAGGAGGTGGGGAAAAGGCAGTGTCACTGTGTGGAATTTGAGCTCGGGCAGCTCCACTGTTAGTGGAGCTTTGGGGGAGGAGTGCCCCAGTCAGCAGACACGGCCTGGGGGAAGAGCTGCTGCTGCTCCACTGGACACATCCCCAGGGTTGGGATCTGCTGAAGCTGCACCGTTCCTGTGTCAATGAAAGCTAATAAAAATTCACATAGACTCACAAATACTTTCACTGCTTTTTATCCAGCATGCTGAAAAACTGTTTTCCAGTTCCCTGCGGTAACTCCTAGAAAATAAGGGTAGACAACCTTCAGGCATGGGAAGCACTTACACAGGGCCTGGGAAAGCTCATGTTGCAGCCCATCTTTCTCTGTCAACACCAAGACAGTGCAGAAACCCTTATTTCCACGTGTAGGTCACTTTAATTTGAAAATGGATTCTTCTATTTAATGTCTGCATAGATTTGACTCCTGAGACCATCCTGTGTTAAGATGTAGCAGTGCCTTGAGAGAGAACAGTAACAAATCTGCCTCCTTTGCTCCAGCCAATCCCTCCAGCAAGGTTCAAGGGGGCAAATAATAACAATTTTGTCTAATTGCTTCCCGGTGTGGATTTGGCAGGATCTCTAGTGCCTGCATGCCTGGTTTGTATGGGTCAGGTGTTTATATGCCCTAAATGTGCTTAGGATGCTTAAAAGCAGACCTTGCTCCAGTCTGGCTCTGGTATTGGGATGGGTTCACAGCCCAGAGCCGTGGTCTGGGTCTGGCTGGCATTGGCACCTCATGTAGCTTCTCTCTGCTCCCATTCCCACCCAAACCTCCCACTGGAGCAGCTGCTGAACTCTCCAGAGCCGTGGTCTGGGTCTGGCTGGCATTGGCACCTCATGTAGCTTCTCTCTGCTCCCATTCCCACCCAAACTGGAGCAGCTGCTGAACTCATTGTATGTTCAATTTGCTAACTTAGGCTAAAGCTTCCTTTCTTGGCTGCTGGGTTGACACATGCAGCCTGTGAGACGCTCCAGGGGCAATGGAGGAGGCCATCCCTCCTTTTGGCAGCTGCAGGCTGTGAGATCAGCTGAGCTGTCCTGAGGAACTGCCACAAGCCATGCCTTGCACAGAGGTCACAATCATACTCTTCCTTCCCTAAATGAGTTACATTTCACTGAATCAGGTAAGTGGTGCATGGAGCAGGGGCTGGGATTCAAGGCTCCCTCTTTCCCAAGCTCTGCAAGTCAGCAAAAGGCCTGGGTGCCTGGGCCTGCCAAGGCCTGAGGCCTCTCCTTCATTCCTCACCTCTTACTGAGGGAATCTGCAGCAGGACAGTGGTGACAGTGTGGACTTTGAAGCAGTAGCCAGGAGAACTTTGTTGTTTGCTCCCTGCTGTGTCCAAGGGCTCTCCCATGCAGCTAAGGCCTCCCAGAGGAGCCCAGCAGGGACGAAAGTGAGATCACTGCAGCACCTGCACAGTGTGTCTGTGGGACCTGCTGCCTGCAGGTGTGGAGGGGAATGGCTCAGCAGAGTTCAGAGAAGAGCTGTGGCTGATGAAAGTAGGGCCAGCTTGGCCAGGGAGGTGTTGTAGTGTTCCCTGTCCTGCACAGCTCACCTTGCTGCATTCTCTGAACCTCTGTGTGAGCAGGGACAGCCCCATCAGCATGGGGAGTTCTGCAGGGAGGTGTTTGTGGGAACAGGGGTTTCTGAAATGTGTTATGAATTTTCCTGAAGGTCATTTTATGTATCTGACCTTAAACTCGCTGATAGGAACATAAGTAGGAGGAAAGGAAACAATTGAGATGAAATAGCTTCAGGGTCCTTGGACAACTGGTGCAGTGAAAGCGTCCCTACCTCCCACAGAGTCAGGTTAATACAGGCCAAGCTCCAGAATCAAAGAAACACTAAACCACCAAGTATTTTGCCAGAAACCCACCAAGTATTTTGAAGCTGGCTGGGGACACAAAAGGAAACCACAGCAGATGAGTGGAACTGGCCATAAAAATGCAGAGAGAGCATGAGGGCTTTTATCAAAGCCAGCTTTGTTCTCTTTCAACCAACACTTTTATGCATTTCAGCATAAATACTTGAGTGCTGAGTTGCGAGGCAGCCAGGTCCCTCTGGTGCAGCTTTGGTATGAGCACAACTGGGCCCCTCAGTGACAGAAGAGGGAGATGGCAGCCCAGCAGCCCAAGGGAGAGTTACTGGCCTGTGGGACTGGATGGAGGAGAGAAGCCAGTTTTCACAGGAGTGTGCTTTGGGGTGAGTGCCCCAGCACCTGAAAATGACCCAGTCTTACACAAAGTGAAAATCGAATGCTTGGCTCCCTTCATGCAACCCCTGAGGAGGAGTGAGCAGGTTCCAGGGTTGCTGAGATAACATTTCCATCCTCTGAGAGGGGGAAGCAGCTCTGGGAAAAGTGTTTCTTGCATCTTTCATAAAACTGAATCAAGTGTGGCACAGTCCATCCCAGTGGTTGCTGCAGTTTGGCTTTTGAAGTGCTGCACATCGAACTTCCAGAGAGCTGCAGGGTGGCAGCACCTGGGGGGAGGATCTGTCCCTTGAGCATCCCAGGGCCATTTCTGGGGGCTCAAGACATGAACTAGTCAGGTACAGCTTCTGCCTGGAGAAAACCGTGCCAAGGAGGGAAGGGTGCCTGTCTCTCAGTGTGGGCTGAGCTGGGCGGGACAGCCCGGGGCAGGTTTGGAGCCCAGAAATGCAGCTGGACAGAAGTGCAGAGCCCAGAAATGCAGTGGGGCATGTGCTGCCAACAGCAGCCGCACAGGAGGGCGAAGCAGAGAGCCAGAGCCGCGTGTGCGGCAGGACAGGGCAGAGCTGCCGGCGGGTCTGTCCTTCACGAGTCTTTCAGGGTAATTTGAGTGTTGATGGGATCCGAGTGTCCCTGGGGCGAGAGCTGCGCTGGGAGGATTCCCTCGTGGATGTGTTTGTCCCCGCCTCTCCTCGCTGGGGAAGCAGCAGGGAGCGTGTGTATGCTCAGCTGGGCTTCTGCTCCCCCTTTCATGTTCCTTATCTTCCAGGAGGCTCTCAGTTCCCTGCGGGAAGGCTGACAGTTGTTGTAATCGCTGTGCGTGCACAGGCAGAGCGCTCCATCTGCTTGCTGCCCGGAGTACCCTGTGCCATTGTTCCAGCCCAGCTGGAAGAGATGCCCTGAGAGCAAAGGAAAATGAGCAAAGCTGTGTCAGCACAGGTATCCTTCCCCTCCTGAAGCAGCTGGCTCTGCACGCTGCCTGGAATGCTGTGAACAGCCGGCTCTTTCCATGGCAAACAGCCAGAACACAGCTTGTTGCAGAATCTCTGGGTTATTTGGAATATCTGGCAGTGGAACATGAGGACATGGCTTCAAGAACTTGTTGCCTCGTGCTTTCCTGTTCTCTTGGAGGACTTGGTTCTCTCTGCCAGGCCATGGCAAGTCCAAGGGCTGGCACCAAAAAAGGCAAATAGAACCCAACTGCCAAAGAGAAAAGAGTGCTTGGAGAAAGGAGCAGCGTCGGGCTCCAGAGGGGGGATCTCCCTTGATGAGGAACACCAAAGTGTGAGGGCTGAAGCTGTGCATCAGCAGCAGTCTGGGGGCTCTGTGCCCTCGTCAGCTCAATCCCTGCTGCAGCCTCAGGTGTCCCAGCCTGGCTCTGGTGCCAGCGCTCCACGGGCCCTCATGATGCCAGCACTGCTCGGGGGATCTGGATCCATCCCTTTCCTCAAGGCCCCTGCTAGGAAATGGGGATTTCTGTTGGAAACCCAGTGTGCTGGCACCAAAAGGGAATGTTTTGTGTGTAGCTGGATGATACTCAAGACACAGCTCCTGATTTTGGGAGAGGTGATGCCACAGTGCCCAGTGCCGCACAAACTCAGGGCAGCACAACATAAAGTGCAGTTTACTGGGACCCTCTGTCTCACTCCTTGGCACCCCCTCCCTGCTTTCACAGACAACTAGTTTGTGCTGCTGATCCAGCTAAACTGATGTGAAACTGATCTTGGCACAGAGACCAGAGAAAAGAGGCTGTTGCCACGTGCAGCTGCACAACAAGGCCAGTGCAGAACGGGGTGCACTGGTTGTAGTGCAGTGCACCTGCAGAGCACCTCTGCCTTGTCCATGCATCCCTGTGCAGGTCACTGCACCACCTGGAGCTCTCCAGCCAGGTCAGTGCCTCCAGTGCTTCAGCTCCTCAGGGCTAATGGGGGCATGAATGCTCAGCTCTGTCCTGGTGCCCTGCTCTAATCCATGAGTATCACCATGAATGCCTAGAGGGTCTCAAATCTGAGACAGTGGGCTGAGGAATTTCTGTTCCTACCTGCTTTACTGCTCAGCAATCCACAGGATTCTCAGTACAGCCACCCTGTTGCACTTTGGGTAGCAAGAACCAACTCAAATCTGTGACACTTCTCCCAGCCTCTGCTGCCTGGCCATTACAATTGGAGGAGTCTGGACTGTGGATGTGTTGTGGTTTAAC